ATGGTAGCTGTTCAGTACAGCCATAACCATGATGGGTTTTTATTGTTAATTTGATAGATCTATTAGAATCATAGAACGGTTCAGGTGGGAAGGGACCTTAAAGTCCCCCCAGGGCCACCCCCTGCCCTGGGCAGGGACACCTCCCACCAGCCCAGGTTGCTCCAAGCCCCCTCCAACCTGCCCTTGAACCCCTCCAGGGATGGGGCAGCCACAGCTTCTCTGCCCAACCTGGGCCAGGCTCTCCCCACCCTCCCACCAAACAAGTTCTTCCCCACAGCTCAGCTCCATCTCCCCTCTTTCAGGGTCCAACCCTTCCCCCTCCTCCTAGGGCTCCCCTCCCTCATCCAGAGTCCCTCCCCATCTCTCCTGGAGCCCCTTGAGGGACTGGAAGGGGCTCCAAGGTCTCCCCGGAGCCTTCTCTTCTCCAGGCTGAACCCCCCCAACTCTCTCAGCCCCCCCTCCCAGCAGAGCGGCTCCAGCCCTCCCAGCATCTCCGTGGCTTCCTCTGGCCCCCTCCAACAGCTCCGTGTCCCCCCAGGCCCTTCTGGGCAGGGCTGCTCCCCATCCCTCCATCCCCAGCCTGGGCTGGGACCGGGGGCTGCCCCCCCCCCAGGGACAGGACCCTGCCCTTGGCCTTGTTGATCCCCACAAGGGTCACAGGGACCCACTTCTCCAGCCTGTCTACGTCCCTCTGGATGCCATCCTGTCCCTTTAGCATGTCACCCCACCTCTCAGCTTGGTGTCATCCGCAAACAAGCTGAGGGTGCCCTCAATCCCACTGTTCATGTCACTGATTAAAATATTGAACTGTACTGGTCCCAGTATGGACCCCTAAGGGACACCACTTGTCACCAGTCTCCATCTGGCCATTGAGCCGTTGACCACTACCTTCTGGATGCAACCATCCAACCAGTTCCTCATCCACTGAACAGCCCACCCATTGAATCCATCTCTCTCCAATTAGAGAGAAGGATGTTGTGGGGGACGGTGTGAAAGACCTTAGAGAGGTCCAGATAGATGACCAAGATCCGTAGCTCTTCCCTTGTCCACTGATGTGGTCAGTCCATCATAGAAGGCCATGAGGTTGTTCAGGCAGGACTTGCCCTTGGTGAAGCTGTGCTGGCTGTCTTGAATCACCTCCCTGTCCTCTGTGTGCCTTGGCAGAGCTTCTAGGAGGGTCTGTTCCTTGATCTTCCCAGACACAGAGGTGAGGCTGATGTTGGTAGTTCCCAGGGTCCTCCTTTCTACCCTTTTTAAACATGGGTGTAATGTTTCCCTTCTTCCAGTCACCAGGGTCTTCACCTGAATGCTGTGACTTTTCAAATACCAGGGACATGGCTTGGCAATGACATCAGCCCGTTCCCTCAGGGCTCTGGGATGCATCTCCTCAGGTCCCCTAGACCTCTGTGTGTTCAGGTTCCTCAGGTGTTCATAAATCTGATCTTCTCCATCAGATTTGTCCCTCTGAAGAGTCACAATGTTACTGAAATGATTTTCCTTATTCAAGCACTGTGTGCATTAATTGCCTTTAATTTGGTTTCAAGAAAAGACAAACCAGGAGTAGGTCTGACACTCAACCCTGAGGAGAGAGACGGTCCAGCAGACCTTGTGTCGTCTTGGGGAGCAGCCCTGAGGAGCCGTGCTCCGATGCCTCGTTACATCAGCTCGTCCGTTCGTTCATTCACCAGCTCTATGTAGGGCACATAATCTGGCAGTGAACTCGAGGTGCTGTTTTCCACTGGGTATCATAACGTTATTTAAACATTTATGTCACAAGAGTGTTAAATCATTATTTTGCTTAATCTTGCTCTGACACCTTAAAATAACTCCCTACTACATCTTATTTTTTGAAAGCTCCTATTTTTATTTAGGCAAAAATAAGAAACATGAGTAATTCAGGTTATTTTTTTGGTATGACACTATCGCAGGTCTTTGATTACGCGGCTTCTTCTCCTTCCCCAGGCTGGTTTTTAAGGCTCTTTCCAGCCCTCGGAGCTCCCTCCGGCAGTGCCCATCAGTGGCACCTCGGGCGTCTCTCTCCTCCCCCACAATTCTAATTCACAAAGATGTAGGGATTTTTCATTTCACCTTTTATGTACATCAATCTGTAGAACTAATTAGTGTGGTTACATCACAACGTCTCCAATGGATCTCACTGCAGCCAGTTGCAAACCTGGGGACGTTCAGGTGCCCGTGGAGCAAAGTGTTGGCAGGTGCTGGAGGGACTAAATCTGGGATCCCTCCTGCAAGTCCAACGTCATAAGTCCTTCTGTGAACAACACAGCAGAAGAGATTGCACTGAAACAAATAGACATCCAATATTTCTAAAAATCCCACAGGTAGCTTTACACACCTGCTTTTGGGGTGCCCATGGCCAGAAAGCGGCGTGTTGGGGAGTTTTCCTACTGTTTCTGACAAGTTTAGGGATTTGAGCTAAGGTAGTTCTTGCCAGTTTACTGGTAGGGGGAGGAATAATTCAGAGGTGGCAGAAAGAATCAAATATTCTTTGCGCAGAATAGCTTTGGGTGAGAGCAGCAGCAGGTTGAACTTATTTAAAGGCTTACATTATTGCAGGAAATCTTGGCAGCTGAGGGTTGGTGGGGGAGGCCGGGTGAGATTGTGCTTATACAGAGTACAAGCAGCTTTGTCAAGAGTTTCCTCAGTTTATCGTGTGGATGAAACAGCCCCAGAGCTCCTGTGGGAAGAACTAGAGGTCCAGAATTTTCTTTTGTTGTGGATTCCTCCCTTTCTCATTGACAAAGCAGTCGCAGCAGAACTAATTGGGCACTTCAGCCCCCCGCCAGGTAAACAGAAATCATGAATTTTTATGTAAACACTTGTTTCCCTTTCCTTCTCTTTCTCTTGTGTCTACACGTGCACAAACGCCTCCTTGCAGAGGTGGCAGAACTTGCTCTGGGTGTGGGGTTAAGATCTGGCATCTACAAGGGATTGACATGTCGTATGGGAAAGGGGAGACATTCCTCTGGATGAAGAATGTGTTGGGTCTCACCCTTTTCCTAAGCAGTAAGTCACAGTTCAAATGGAAGATAGAATGGTTTGGGTTGGAAGGGACCTCAAAGACCATCCAGTTCCAACCCAGACACCTCCCACCAGCCCAGGTTGCTCCAAGCCCCCTCCAACCTGGCCTTGAGCCCTCCAGGGATGGGGCAGCCACTGCAACTTTGATCCAGGAATCAGGGTTTGAGGTTCTCTGGCTCTTGTTACGTGGACGGGAGGATGACGTTACCGTAATGAGCTCTTCTGGTCGTTAAGACTCTGTGTCCAGTAGGACACTCAGCACTCGGGAGAGAGGGTTTTGTTGTGGAGGTGAGAGTTCTCTGCGTGTTGAGGAGCCATATGCATCAGCAGCTCTGCTTTTGGGAGACGGGCGATGTGTGGAAAATGCGACACTCAGGGATGACTGTGTGACAGCAGCCGCCTCCTTTAAAGCACTTCACAGAGTTTTGATGAAGTTTATCCACATCTAGGTACTTTGTTGCACGAAGTCACTGCTTTTATAGCTAAGCTCTTTTTTCATGGGTATTGCCTAAGCATGTCCAAAATTATAATGCGAAGCGAACTACCAGGGATGTCCATGGGATTTGGGCACTGGTTTCTGTGGATGTATGTCTGGGAGTGCCTCGGTACCTGCAGCTCTTGCGTGTGTTGGCTTTTGTGAGCATCTTCCCTTGGTCTGGAAGACAAAGGAATATTTCTGTCTGCCTCACCAGGAGGTGTACAGTGGTGTTAATGGCAGAATCACAGAGCGACCTCCCAAAAAGGGATTGGGAAGGCTATAGATGCGGGATGGTGACTCCTGTAGATGCAGCCCGGGCAGGGGAGGCTGCAGATGGCCAGGGGGAGGGGAGGTGTCTCCTGTCCTGCTCCTTGCCCGCCAGAACGACACCCGGGGATGCGGGTTTCCATCCCGCATGAGCCCGTCGCCTCCCGCCCCCCGCCCGCCCCGGGGGTGCTGCTGGGGGTCCCGGCGGGCGACACGGGGTGCGGCGGGGGACACCCCTTCCCCGCCGCCGGGGTCGGGAGGTGTGGGGCTCGGCGTGGCGTGTGCCCGCAGCGGCGGCGGCACCGCGCATGTTGGGGCCCCTCATACCGCAGTGTGCCAGCCCAGCCCAGCCCGGCCCGCGCCCTCCCCTCCCTCCCTCCCGCGTCCCCAGGCAGTGCGGGGCTGCGGGGGGCTCTGTCCC